GTGTGTGTGTGTGTGTGTGTGTGTGTGTGTGTGTGTGTGTGTGTGTGTAGAGTCATTTTTGTTCACAAACTCAGCATTCAAAATTAGCTTTGCCTGTGAATTTCTTACAATCAGAAGACATTTCAGCCAATATTCCATTGTTCTGCTAGTCTGTACAAATTAATTTCTGTTTCTGTTTTTTGAGACAGGATTTCTTTGTGTAGCACTGGAACTAGCTCTGGTTAGAAACCAAGCTGGTTTCTAACTCACAGAGATTCACCTACTTCTACCTCTGGAGTTCTGGTATTAAAGGCATGCACCAGAAATACCCAACCGAACCCTTTTTTTTTTTTTAATTTTCTTTTTTAAAGACAGTCTCATGTTGGCCTCTAGCTACTGTATAGCAAAGACATCCTTGAATTTCTGATTCTCCTGCCTCCACCACTCCTCTGATTCCAGGCCTCTGTTACCATGTGGGTTTTATGTAATGTAAGTGGAACCAGGGCTTTCTACATGCTAGGCAAGCACTCTCACAACTAATCCTCAGCCCCAGCCTCCCACATGAACCTTCCTGAGCCAGTCATTATCCGACTCTACTGCCCACAGTGTTGCTGCTGAAGACGATGTCTCAAGGATCACCTTGTGCCCTCTGAGACACTTGCTTATTCTACAAATAGCTTTCTTGGGTTGGTTTAGGCTGAGTTCTCCTCCATGAAGCTTCCTACTGAGTGTTTCTTCTAGCCTGGATTTGCTGGAAAGATTCCGGTTGAACTAGAACAAAATGTATCACATTTCCCACCACCAATTCTGATTTCCTTGGTGCCATACCTGGACCATGAAGTCCAACTTCTTTGGTTTCAGCAGCACCTGGGAGGTGTCTAACTTAACTCCTCCACTCATCCTTGTGCTTCTTACTAATGGGCGTCATGATCTGACCTGAGATGGCCTTGTCCTTGTGGAGTACCAGCTCCCGACAGCTTTGTCATATTGTGGTGGCTGAAGGAAAAAAACAAGGTGTGTCTCTGGGTTAGTCCTGAGGCATTCCTAAACCATGGTTCCTCCATAGAGCAGGGATAATAGCAATTTTTCTACTGAAAATCCTATATGGTAATAAAAAGTAGCCAAAACCAAAAATTACAAAAACAGTAACAACTACTAGGCCATGTATAAAGGAAAGAAAAGTATCAATAACCAGGCCCAGCAGGCAGCTCATGCCTATAGTCCCATACTCCAGGGGCCGAAGCCAACGCATCAAATTCTAGGCCAGCTGAGCTACACAGAAAAAACTCTTAAAAAAAAATACTAACCAGCATAAAAGAAGTTAAAAATCACAATCAAGAAATTGAAGTTAGAGCAATAACTACCACACATGCATTGGGTTGAGGAAAATCTTTGTAAATTGCTGTATATATGCTGGTGTGGGCAGGACACGGCTGTGGATGAACCAAGTAGATGCTCACATTCCAGGCAAGGTAAGTCTGAATGGCCCCGATCTTGCAAATCGGCCCTAGTAAAACCAAGGTCAATGAAGGGCACGCAGGGCACACTGGGAGAGTACCCGAGAAAGGTGCGTAGCAGCAGCTGCAAAGCAGTTGCCCTCATTCACCGGCTTGAATCCATAAGCCATCTGTATTGTCTGTGGACAGTTTAGGTAGGTCCATGAAGAGCTTCTGTCTGCCTGCCTGTCATCATCCATGACAGCTTCCAGGTTGTTACTGATGACAGAGGCTGAGTATGTCTGAAGATCTGTCTGCAGTCAGTGCTGATGGTCGCTGGGGCCTCAGCTGAAGCTGCCAGAATGACATAAGACTTGTCTGTGTGGTCTGCAGCTGCTGTAACAGACTGCCACAAAATGGGGGCAACAATCTGAAAATGAGAAATTGCCCTTGTAATTGTGAAGGCCATAAATTCAAAATCAGTGTCACCAGGACAACTGATTCCCAGGAGAACCCTAGTTGAAGAAGGTGTGGGATCTTCTCTGCCTCCACCAGCTCCTCCAGGAGCCTCCAGGCTTTTGGAACTCCTTGGCTTGGAGCTCTAGCCCATCTTTGACTCCATCTTCATAGAACTTCTCTATGTAAGACTCTTAAGAATATCAAAATTGGGCTGGAGAGATGGCTCAGAGGTTAAGAGGTCCTGAGTTCAATTCCCAGCAACCACATGGTGGCTCACAACCATCTATAATGAGATCTAGTGCTCTCTTCCCATGTGCAAGTGTATATGCAGACAAAAAAAATGTATACATAATATTTCAAACAAACAATATCAATTTTGCCAGGCAGTGGTGGCACATGCCTTTAATCCCAGCGCTCAGGAGGCAGAAGCAGGCAGATTTCTGTGAGTTGTAAGCCAGCCTGGTCTAGAGAGCTAGTCCTAGACAGCCAGGGCTACACACACACACACTCATGGATAACATCAATATTAATTTAAGGTTCATTCTAATCCTGAATAACCTCTTAGTTACAAGTGGAAAATAATTTGCAGGTAGACATTGGCCTCTACAAGGCCATACCATTAGCTTAATATATATATATATATATATTGTAGTGTTAGAGATTTCAGCCTAGGGCCTTATACAGACTAGGCAATTGCTCTACCCTTGAGCCACCCCACTACCCCCAAGGCCTCCTCATTTTGCGGCCAGCTCCCTCATTAAGACAAGACAGGCATGGAATCTTTATGATTTATCTGAGGAAGTTAAATAATGTCACTGTGAGTTGAAGCAACCTCAAAAGCCAATGAAGGTCCCTGGGCCCACAACAATAGTCCTCTGTTCAGTGATAGCCAGGAGGATGTCCCAGGAGAGCTGCCTATTTAATTACACTGTTTGAGGTAGGTCCTTTGAATATGGGAAAGTCTGTGAAAAGGCACATATCTCTCCATGCCAGGTTCTATCTCATCATGCTTGACCTAGGTGAGATGGGTATAGCCTGTCCAAGAATGGATCTATGAAAGATACTGCTCACATGATTGAGGAGAAGGCGCCCTAGGTCTTGAGTGAAACAGAGAGCCACAGCAAGTGTAAGCACAGTTTCCAGAAGTCACCAGTTGAATGCTGGTGAACACATGGTCAGTTCTGAAGGCCTGTAGGCCACACGCTTAAGGCCCACGCTGCCCTGGAGGACTAAAACATTCATCCTACCTCAGAAAC